TCGAGCCCATCTAACTAAATCGTCTAAGTCAGCTTGAAGATCTAGATGATCAGCCGCACTTTTTATTGTTCTCCAGATTTTTACACCATCCGAAAACAATAATGTCAATGACCTAAGTAACAGCGGTAACTCATTAACGTAGAGAAGGAAGAAAAGAGGGCCTAAGATGGTGCCTTGGGGTACACCACTTTTGACCGGCCTCCAATCGGATAGCGTTCCGTTGACCCTCACTCTCTGTCTGCGGTCATATAAGAAATTTCTTATCCACTCATGCACAGTACCTATTATTCCGAAGCTCGTGAGCTTCTGCATAAGACCTACGTGTGAAACCCTAACAAATGCTTTGCTAAAATCTATGAATATCACATCGACAGACAGACTGTTATCTAGGGCTGCTGTCCAATCCTCCCTCGCAATAAGCAAGTTAGTCAAGCATGAACGCTTGTTACGAAATTCGTGTTGCTCAGGAGCTAACAGATTGTGTAAATCTATGTGGCTCAGCAACCTAACCCGAATTGACTTTTTAAGTAACTTAACGACTATGCTAGTTAGACTAACAGGCCAGTAGTTAGATACTATATGTCTCTGACCGTCCTTAAATATAGGACTGACTATAGCGTCCTTCCAATCTCTAGGGAGTTGAGCGAGTGAAAGGGACATGTTGAAGAGTTTCGCGAGCGGTTTTGAAATAATGTCCGCAAGAGATGACAGCAACCGTGGATTTAACCCGTCAGGGCCCGGTATCTTACCAGGTTTGAGGTTAGTTATCAACGGAAGGACAGTTTCCTCAGTCACCTGTACAGATTCAATGGTTGGTATCTCGGTGTGAGTGGGACAAGTATTTGTTACAATAAACGTAGAGAAGACTTTGCTAAAATAGTCTGAAAAAGTCTCAGCTTTTGCTCGATCTGACTCAGCTAGTAATTCTGAATTTTCGTGTAACAGTAACGGGGGAATACCATCACTACGTTTCATTCGCCGTTTAACATACGAAAACAATCGTTTCGGGCAAGTACGGCTATCATATACTAACTGTCGTTCGTAAGTGATAAGGGATTCGGCTATGGTTTTCTTACAGATATTACGGAATTTTCGGTACTCACGCTTAAATGGTGCATGACCTGTCAACAAGAATAAGTCCCAGAAATGTTTCCTACGCTTTAACACCTTCCGGGTTTCCTTATTAATTCATGGAGGGCAATGTGGTAGCTTACGTACTGACCATGGGATAAACGGCGACGTTACGGACTCGAATGTAGCCTTAAACTTATTCCATTCATCTTCTATCAATCCATCCGCGTCGACCGACCAATCAGTCGAGATAGCACAGTTTCTGATTTCCGGAATATTGACTCGCCAGATATTGGGACGGGGTGGAGCAGATACGAATTGTATACCATGTGTCCTAAACTTAAAGTGAATTACAACGTGATCACTGTTCACTAGTGGAGGAAGGTGCTGGATATCAAAGACATCCTCAGAGTGGTGGGTGAGGGCGATGTCCAGCAGTGACGGAACATGTTGCGAATCAATATGTGTCGGTTTTGTGATACATTGTACAAGTGCACACTGAATAACGGTAGATAAAAGGTCGCTATCGAAACCACTACCCGGAGCTGTAAGCTCTATCCAGTTGATATGCGGTGCGTTGAAGTCCCCAATGATGAGACAACATTCTGCCATACTCCAAGAACAGATGTGTCTTAGGATAAAGTCGTCAGCAAGACAAGACGGACTACGGTATATTCCCCCTATAGTCACTAACCCAATTCTAGATTTAATCTTACAACATGCAACCTCACATGTGCCACTGATATGAGCCTCCGATATGGTTGATTGTATACGAAAGTGATCCCTAACGTATAATATTATACCTCCCCCTTTGCGACTTGAAACTCTATCACTTCTGATACAGATATAACCAGCAATGAAAGGAGGACGGTCTATATCAACGGTGAACCAAGTTTCTGTAACAACGATTATATCGGGACATAATTCTTGCACCATCAGACTTAGCTCTGACGTTTTATTTCTAAGACTACGAGCGTTCGTGTAGCACACACTTAAGGTGTTTTGGAAATCAATCGTTCTACCCATACAGGCCTCGGAAGCATTGGCTTCCAAGACCTGACTACCCGAAAACCCTTAATGGTAAGGTTATTTTCGCCATTTAATTTGCGAGTCCTCAACTCCGTAAGAGCATTCTTCCACTTGATTCGATCCTCAAGCGGCCAATCTGGTCGAATACGGATATTTGAGTCACGAGTTTTTAGTGCGCTTTTCAATAATATTTCTCTTTTAAATAAAAATAATATATTTGTAATATCCC